TTATTATTATTATTATTATTATTATTTATTTATTTATTTATTTATTTATTTCTGTATATCGGGGAAAATCCGAGCCTTAACAGGGCTCAGGAAAAGCTGGCACAGATGCAACTCAGACGTCAGAGAAGGAAGGTTGCAAGAGGTAGCTGTGAATGCGGAAATCGTAGAGATATAGGGGAGGGGACAGTTGCAAAGGGCTTGCTTGAGAAGGAACACGCCTCCTTCCTGTTCTATAAAATAATAAAATAAAAAAAAAATAAAAACTGATTCCCTTAGGGGGAATAGGAGTTGCGCCAATTAAAAGAGAAACATATTTTAAACGCTTGAGTCGAAACCCTCAAATTAAACCTGGAGTCAACGCTATTTCAAACGCGGAATCTTAATATAGTGGGTTTCGGTGCAATTTTTCTTCCGGTCCCAGGAAAACATGAGGTTCACGCTTTGGACTTGCAATTTGCAGGCAAGTTTTTATTCTTTAAAAAAAAAAAAAACCACGTTGCTGCAAAGATCAAGGATTCCAGTCTGGTTTGTTATATCTGGCGATGTCACGGTGGAGATTGCAGACACACTTTCTGCTTCCTAACGTGGCTGGCTTGTTTGTTTGTTTTTTAATTGCGCAGTACATTTTCTCTCAATAATTCAAAGCGAACTCGGAAGTGAGCTCTGATACGTATATGTCTAGCCTCAGCAATCTACGGGGAATACGGAAGCAAAAGCGATTCCGCAAAACGCCCGTGCGTTCCTTTCTGGTGTCGTTCGATAATACGAGACCTTACTGCAATAAAAAAGGTAATATTACCGATACTCCGCTCTAAGCTGTAGTTTCCATTCAGGTAGCGCTTTAAGGGAGTGTGAGTAATTCGGGGTCTCGGAACCCCTCCGTTGATCTTTTGCAAGTTTCCTGCCCGTTGCGTCTAATGGGACGTTTGCAAACGATAGCTAACCATTCAGATCTTGAGTTTTGAAGTCCCCTTTTCACCTCCTTAAAAGAAGATCCTCGGTTTAAATAAAACGCACTTTACTTAATAGTAACTTTACTTAGACCTCTTGGGGCTTACTTACAGTTTTCCCATTATAGTAACTTCACTTGATCTTCTTGGGGTTCCCTTAACGTTTCCCAAAGGCTTTTGGGATTGTTATTTTAGGGAGCCCTGTTAACTCCCTGTATTTATTACTGTGCCTATTATATCTGTGACCGGCTGGGTTTTTCCTTTCTTGTAAGCTGTTTAAAATCCTGTCTCTTCCCGATCTTCTTTTATTAGTCATTGGGCCAACCCTCTAGAGATGAGCACAAATAAAGATGAATTGTTATGCAAGATAGCTGATGATGGGAAAGCTGCTGTGGTAGAAGATGAGAATAAACTAACGAAGCAAAAATCTCATCCAGAGAGTCGAGTTTATGCTGGTCCCCACAGTATCCTGGTGACAGATGATACTAAGCGATTTAAGCTAAGTAGCATCCAGGTACCATCCATCCAAGAAAGGTAAGCTCCATCATCGGCTAAATAAAGAACAAGCTCTGCTTGTATTGCTAAAAAAAAAATCAGTATATTCTGGTTTGGGAAGAAATGTACATTAAGTGATAGTGACTACTTTTTAAAAGAACAGTAACCACCAAGGTTTATGGGAAGGGATACTTTTTGCTGTTTCTTTTATCAGATTCTCTTCTCATCTCACATCTGAATGGTTTAAACAAGCTTTGCTGCTGAATTCTTTGGACCCCTTATTTATAGAATGGGAGCTGAGCCTACTGGGTGACTTTGGACCTGTCACTCCCTCTCAGCCCAATTAAGCCTTACAGGGCTGTTGTTATGGATAAAATAGGAGATTGAAGGATTAGATACCTTGAATTGGCGTTAGATAGATAGGCAGGATGAGGCTTTAATAATAATATTAAATATTGTGCAGTAATTGTGCTCCCATAAACACATTTGCATTTTTTTGGCATAATCATCATAGATTAGTAAAATGCTGTAGGATTCCCAATCCAGCAGAAAGTGTTTATTTTATTATTCTAGATAAGTGAAAGTCAAAGGAAAGAAGGAAATATGTGGAAAACAAACTTTTGTAATGTTTTTTCCATAGCAGCATTAGCTTATTGTCTTGTTCTTTTTCTTATTATTACTGCTTTATAGCCACTTTCCTTCAATCTAGTCCTGTCCAGATGTATTAGACTACAGTTTGCAGAATTTCTAACCAAGATATCATTGACTGTACTGGCTGAGCATTTGGGAGTTTTAGTTTAATATCACCTCAGGACAATAAGTTGGAGAAAGCTGCTTTGCTTATTAAGAAATATGAATGTCTGATAAAATATGCACCGATTTTAAAGTTAAAACTCATACAAGAAAGATTAATTTTCTAAATCTTGAATGGCATTTTAGATATCCGTTATTAGACTTTGTTCCTTGTTCCTAGGCCAATCAAATTATATTCAATTGCAATATACTTTTAATTTTCTTACAATAGTCATGTGAAGAGTAAACATCATATAACTTTCAAAATGAATAAACATTCCTGTATTGGAATATTTTCTAGCCATATCTCTCTCTGTGTCATTAGTCATTTCTGGCAATACAATGGATCTTCATTAAACCTCCCTCATAGAACTAGCCACAAGGTAGTGAGTGACAAACTGAGAAGCATCTGGCCATCTTCAACCTGGGGATTTGGTTGGTCAGGTCTGGCCAAGCACTTTTCCTCAGGCTTAACATTTACCTTAAATGTAATTGTATAAGTAATGCAGCACATACATATATGCCTATTTTTCTCATAGCCCTGGAATGACACAGCCAAAGGCAAGGAAGGCATCAGAGCCTCCAGTTATCACCGAAGAGAAACGGAGAAAAGGGTTTTTTAGTCTATCGTTTTCTAAAGCCAAAAAAGAAAAAGGCCCTCCTTGTGATAAAATGTCAAGCACAAGCATCAGCCACAAATTAATTGCCAATGAAGATAGTGCATGTCACTTGCAGAGGGCTCAAGCCGATGTCTTGAAATCATCTGTAGTCCATCAAGAGAATTATCTCAAAAGGAAAGAGCTGCCTGCATCAATCGTCCCTTGCCCAATGGAGTTCTCTGTAGACTTGTGAGTTCCTGCCATCAGCTTTGTTGTGACCGTATATTTCAAAGTTTGTGACTTAGTTAATGGAGGTTTTTCCAGGTGCTTAATATTTGCCTGAAGTACTTTAGTGGTTTCTATGATGGTAGGATCAAAATGTTGGCTGCCTGCAGGCTGTTTTACAAAAAAGAAAAAAGAAACATGAGCTGCTGTTTCCACTTTCTTGCTTAAATTCTTCCCACATCCCCATTATTATATTTAAGACTTAAGACCATTTTAAGTGTATTTATTTCTTAACTTGCAGTTCAAACTCCTTTGAAGCCTTGTTTTTAAATCTAAAATTGATTTAGATTTGGCTAATTTTGTTTCCTTGGTGTGGGGGGAATCCATTTTCAGTAAGTCTGCCTATTTGGCATTCTAATTCTTTTTGATCTTTCAGTAATTTACTAGAATTTTTATGATTTGTAAAGTTATATAGGATGAGGTGGTTACCTCATGGTAAAGATTTTTGTGATAATACCCTGGTTTTTTTTTCTTAATCCAGAATGCTGAGCCATAATACAAAAGTTCTCAAAGCCGTTACTACAAAAATAAAGGCATGTAAGGGAATGTGAAGCCTCTACAAGCCATTGTGCCCAAAATTTCTGTAATCGTGATATGTCTAACACAGTCTGTTTTCTCTAATGTTCAGTTTACTAAAGATCATCAAGAATTAACTGTTGTCAAAAGAAAACTATATTTTGCTGTTCTTTACAGTGTTTTTATACTTACTGTTGATCTAGCATTATATCTGAAAGTTCCCTTCATCAAACTGCCATATGTATGTGTGTGTGAATATATATGCAAGGATTGATAATAAAGTTATAATTTTTAATGCATTGTAACTTCAAATGGTTGCTAAGCGAGATGGTTGGTCATGTGTATTTAGAGATAAAAACACACATCTCTAAATACATATGACCAACCATCTCTTTAAGCAACCATTTGAAGTTACGCTGCATTGAAATTGTAACTTTATGATCAATCCTTGCTTTTATGACCTGGCACAGACATGCAGGCATGTATTTGCCAGTTTAGGCATTTGGCTATTAGAGCACATTTATGACCATCATAGCATCCTGCCATTTGTGTACTTCACAACTGGCTAATCAAAAGAGTCAAAAACTGTCTGGATACATTGGACTGCAACTTTTGAAATTCCCAGTGAAGATCAAAGTGGATGGGAGGATGCTAGATTGGTAAACATGGAAGTCAACAGCTGATAAAGGGAGCCCAGGTGCTTCTTAGGGACTTAAACTTTTAGACAAAGAAGTGGAGTATCGGCCTGTGAAACCTAAAAGCTGCTTTTGTTTTTCAAGTCTTTAAAAATCACAGATTGCTGTCTTCTCCTGCCCAGTGGGATGACTTAGCATGCATTTTGATGGTGATGATGCACCTCCCCTTGAGCATCTTTGCAGTTTGCTCACTAGACTTCTGTAAGTAATTGTATGTTCATTTTACTATCTGATGCACATGGTAACACCTTGACATCAAGTTGGCTGTTATCACTGTTTTTATCCCTTTGAAAATAGCTAAAGTAATTTTTTGGAGGAGGAGGAAGTGAAGCAGAGTTGGATTCAGAGATACATTATTCAGAATTTAGAGAGTATTATTTGAGAATATGAAAGGGTTGTTGTTTTTTGTGATGCAGGCATGTTGGACCTCCATATAACTATGCAAGAGTTTGTGCAACAGCTTGATGCAACAAAAATAAAATGGTTTTTCCTGCAAAAGAGTTAGAGATGTTAGAGGAAGATTAGAAAAATACTAATGTCATTCCATTGTTGTGGGTCATTACAACAATATTTGAATTATTATTCTCAGTATTCATTTATATCCCATCTGCCTAGATCCAAGTTATTTTTTAAGCTACATATCAAGTTGATACGCTAACTAAAAACTATTGGAGTTATATACTATCTTCTAACAGGTGTCAGGTTGGGAGAGCTTCATTTAAAACAATAATAATTAAACTGGGTTAAGGATGCAATTTGTTATTGTTTGTGAGTCAAGGATCCAGTTTGGGATTGACACTGCTGAGGTGCTTATGTAAAACACCGTCTCTTTTTTTTGTGAGCTAATCACATAATTAGAGACTGGGAAAAGAAGTAATAGTGTCGTACAGTTTAAAAACTACTGATTTAAAATGACACAATGTTGCAAGAGTAACATCCAAAATACCATAAAACTGCTTGTGGGAAAATTAATCTTCCCGTAACTTCCTTTGAACTAAATAAGAATGTTTTTTTTCTTCAGCTGATATATTTAAAAGGACTATCACCAAAAGTAAAAATGGGAAAATATTTATGCAGCTTAAAAGCTTTAACGGAATATTGCATAAAATAGGGTTTGGATTTTGTGTTCGGAATATCATGTACTCTTATTTTAATTGATTGAGTGTAAAGGCCTCGTTTGAAGTCAGTTGCTCTCCGTTAACTGAACATCTACCCTGTTTCTCCAACAATATGGCCTCCCCCAATAGGAAGTCCCAGCATGTTTTATAGGCATGAAATGAAATTAAGCCCCTCCCCCTAAATTAAGGCCTATATTAAAACATGCAAAATGGGGGGGAATGGTGGGGGGGGGCTTGCCGTTAGGAAGTACTTTTGTTGCACACCCGGATATGGTGCCTGCATTGACCCCAATATGAAGTGCCCCACCAACACCGAGGTCAACATCCAAGCCATCGCTGCCTGCCCGTCCAAAGATGCAAGGGGGGGGGGAATGAAGTCACCCCCAAAAAGACGGCCTAGCCATTTTTTCGGGGCTCAAAAAAAAATAACACCCGGCCTTATTATATGAGAAACACGGTAATATGGGGCACAATCAAGTGGAATACCCAGGCTTCCTTTCCTTTCTCTTTCCAGGGTGCTACTTTTTCTGTGCTTTTCCAAATATGCTATAGAGGTGGAAATGCTCTAGTTATATTAACATTAAGTGCAAAATCATTTTTCTCCCCATTCCTTTGATGGCAGGCATTTTATTGTACCCAGAGGTTACGAGGGCAACATTATTATATTTATGTATGTATTTGTTGGAATATTAGCTACTTTCTTAATAAAATCTAATTTTAATTCCTCTTTAAGGTTTTGCAGTCACCAACAAAATGCATTCTAATCTGGGAGGCAACAATCTGTTAGAGATTTTATAGTCCAGAGGAGTAAAGGTATGTCTTCAAATTATTTCCTTTTGAGGATATATAATTTGGAGTACTTGTAATGTGTTTACGTAGTTCCCCCCTCCCCTCCCCTTCTCTCTCTCTCTCTCTCTCTCTCTCTCTCTCTGTGTGTGTGTGTGTGTGTGTATAATGGTTATGCGCACATCACAAACAATTCAGAAGCAGCTGAAAAATGAGATTGCTGCTTTAATTGAGAATAGAATTTTTATTGAACTTTATTGTCATTTTAAATGTACGCTAATCAGCATTAGTGTACACTAATCTCATTAAAATGAGATATCATTGCATTTAGCTCTCAAAGGGTAACAATCTCCAATATATACTATATAAACATGATAAAAATTATGCATATACTCACATGCCCAGAAAAACAACATGACCCAGAAAAACAACAGTCTAGTTCAGATGTATACATATATCATATCGATAAGAGAAGTGCTGCATTTATGCACATTCCAAAGCACTTCTGTATAGATTTTAAAGTATGTGCTGCCCTAATACCAGTTACACATGGATTTAAATGAGGGGATGGGGAAAAATTCTCCAATATGCCAGAAGAACTCCAAATTATACATACGCCTGGGGGAAAAAAGACGCATCTGCTTTAATTGTCATTCAAGTCGTCTCTTTTTGTTTTCAAGTTTGGGCAGAAGCTTGAAAAAATGATTCAGTTGCTTTAATGAGCAGAAGAGGGGTGCTGCATGAGTACTGAAGCCTTTCTTCCAAATCAGTTTTGCAGCACCGACCACCTTAATTGACAACTGTTGCCTGGGAAAAGCTGCCTAGCTCCTCTCGCTGACAAAGATATCTCTATGAATTCAGTCTTTCCTGTTACGTGAAGTGTATATCAATGTTGTTGCAGTGAGGAGGACCTGTACCGTGATGCAGATGAAATAGAGAGAGAGAAAGTGCTACTTGAGATTGGGACAGATGCTTCAGGTACATTTCAAAACTATTTCTTTATAGTGTAAGGCCTACGCCAGATCATGCATTAAATCAACACCTAGCACTTGTTGACTTAAAAAAAAAATGGGTAGAGTATGCTGCCCTTCAAAATTAGTGTTTTTCCTCAGGGCAGCTTACAAAATAAAAATTTGGAATGAAGACTAAAATTACATAATAAAGGCCAAACAAATTGAATTCCACAACGGAATTAATGATAATGATAATAATTACTTTTCTATGCAAATATACAAGGTATAATGAATTGGTCAGTAGTTAATCTGAAGGATATCATTACATTAGAATTTGTCAGTGTCAGAGAAAAATTAAGTTAGTGACAGAATAGAGCTGGAAGGGACCTTGGAGGTCGTCTAGTCCAACCCTCTGCTTAACTAGGAGACTGTATTTCAGACAAGTGGCTGTCCAGTTTCTTAACAGCAGACTTAATAGCACTTAAAGTTACTGTACTTAAGAATGTTCAAAAGTCATGTGTCAAATGCGTAAAAAAATGTTTAGAAGAAAACAATTCCCACATTTTATTTAATTTATATTGACTGTGGCCTTTGCTATATCGTGTATATTTAATACTGTTTAAAAATGACACTTTGCAAGGCTGTTTCAAAGAGGTATTTTATGCAAATCTTCAATACCGGGAAAGCACTTTTTCAAAGATCTGCACAACTGTCATTCATAGCACCCAGTTCTAATTAGTCCTTTTGCTGCAAAATTATGTATGCATAAGGTATATAAAACATTGCAATATTTAAATGAGTAATATTTAAATTGACATATTTTAAACCAGAGCCTGGATTTTTATCATGACATGGTTTTTGGTGCACGCAGTATCATATTCGTTTTCATATTTGTTGCGTCTGCATGCAAGACACATCCTTACACTAGGAAGTAAATGGGAACACTTATTAATACATTATATTTTACCGGTTAAAAGTGTCTGTATTTTATTCCAAAGAGGATCAAACATTCCAGATACAGGGAGTCTGCAACCGATGGAAAATCCTGGCCATCTCCATCTGCACGTGGATATTACTTTTTAAAGAAATGTGGAGTAGAGTTTTCTGATGTTTAAATTAAATGTAATTTTCTTGTCTTGATTAAATTCAGATTTTCTAGAAAATAAGCTAAGTATTGAACCTGAAGTAGATATCATGGATTATTGCCAGAAAGAATGGAGAGGAAACACATCTCATGCTGAATGTATTCGGAAGGTTTGTTTTCCTGTTTCTCTGTGTAGGGAATTTCTCTTTTCAGGATCTAAATCCAGATTGATTTCTTGAAAACATAGTAATAAATATAGACATATGCTAATGAAACCTCAATGATTTAATATTTACAAAAAAAAGACAGTATGAATTGTTTATCATGAGTAAGTTGTTCTTTGTATTTTTGGTAATTGCAAGATTGAAAAATAAAGTTTATTTTTGGAAATTGTAAAAGATATGGCCTTTAGATTTAATCTAATTTGTATGGTTGTTTTGTACATATGCTGTGTAGGAATTATTATTGCATACAAATAGCTCAAGGTGCACCCAGCTCTTCTCATTGTGATGTTTCAGTGCGGGTTATGTTTGCAAAGATACACTCGATGGGTTTATCCAAAATCCTGTCCCAGTGCTTGGGGGGGGGGGGAGTTTTTAAAGCCTTGCAGAAGCCAACAGGCACATGTCCATCCAAATCTTAGGGCAAGGATGCTATTCCAGGTGCAGTGACACAGATTGACAGGGTTTTAAAGAGGTAATTTGAAACATATTCACTCTCCCAGATCTTGTGGGACAGGCAGACACAGCTACAGATAAGTGGCCCTGCAAATAATCCAGGCATGTTCCATGAAGGGCCTAATAGGCGTACTCTTGGCCTGGGCATATAAGAATCTTGCAGATTTGAAAAAAGAGAGGAAATGGCTAATCTTATTATGTATCATACCAGTTTTGATTTGCATTAAACCTGAGAATCAAATCTCGTTTTTAATATGTAAAAAGATAACTTTGGAGTTTCCAATTTTGGAAGTGGGTAGGGATTTTTTTTTTTTTTTTAGTAATTGTAATTCTACTTGAAGTGGATAGGCAAAATGTAGAGTAATGTTTATCAAATTTGACAACATTAGGATATGCTGACTTCAACTCCCAGAATTGTTAGATATAGAGCAATTGTTCAAGTAAAATAAGTATGAGAATCAAATTGGTCTAGTGGTAAAGGCACCCGGCCCAGAAACCAGGAAATAGTGAATTCTAATCCCACTTAGGCCTGAGAGCCAGCTGGGTGACTTTGAGCCAGTCGCTCTCTTAGCCTAACTCGCCTCAGAGACAAAATAGGAGGAGGGGAGGGTATTGGGTATGTTCACTGCCTTGAAGTATTTATAAAAAATAATAAAGATGGGATTTAAAAAAGGATATAGGCATAGAAAGAGAATCTTGCTATATCAGGCAAACATCTCTGATCAGAAGTGCTTATTTACAGCCTCATCTTCTTCCTTAGCATAACTCACTCAGCACCCCCTCTTCCCAAAGTTTTTGTCATAACAAGATTTCTCCACAATGTTTAAGCTGTTACCAAACTTGAACATCAAATTGCTGCTTTATCTAGTCTTGTTTAAAGGAGCTTAGAGTGAAGCTCAGGTTCTTTGAATTGATATGGTTAAATGAAACGGGTCATTACCTTCTGTTCACATGCAAAAAGAAAAGTTGAATTAGGAGGGGAAGATGTGATTCTAAGGCCTCTCCGGCTTCATTTCCGGTAGTCTAAATTGGGAATTAGATTATTGTTTATGATTGTATAAATGAAGCTGTAACAGTAGTAGCAGTCTTTTCAGGGTGTTGGGCTAGGATTTGAATTTGTGTGACGATAATGATGCAAATGTCTACAATTAATCAGATTTTGTAGATTGCCAAATCTCACAAGTTTCCAGCCAGTTCTAAATATGTATTTTATTTTATGTTATTTTGGGAGGGTGTCCAAACATGACATTTGGGAATACTATGGATGATATAGTCATAGTGCATGTATTCAGCAACAAGTTAACAGTTGTAGGCTAATGGGTGATTATTAACATCTGACAAATATTGAGGATTGGCTTAGAACTCTAGGTAACTTCTACAACTCCATTATTGTGTTGAGTTAGGATCCTCTCTATCCGATTGTGATTTTTATTTTTAATACAGGGTTATGAAGCTGTTTCACATAAATTTATTTCAATAAGAAGAGTGCGAGGAGATAATTACTGTGCTCTCCGAGCGACACTATTTCAAGCACTCAGCCAAGCTTGTCACCTTCCTCAGTGGCTCCAGAAAGAAGACCTGATATCGGTAGGCCTCAGATTCAATCACTTTATTTCATAGGCAAACTTAAGATCATTTCTGCTTTGGTGTTTTATTCATCCGCCATAGATGTTTATTGGAAAATTGATGCATTTAAAAAAAAAACTTTAGATGGCTTATTAAATAGCTTTAGGCTTCTGGGAATAAGAATCTTAATTACAAATGTGATATTTAAATAATCATTTTTCAACTTTCTAACACATGTTAATATCTGAACCTTTTAGTTACCAGAGAAGCTGATGGTCAGATATGAATGGATCACTCAGTGGCGACTGAGGCACGCATGGCCAAGTAAAGTGGAAAGCCTGATGGATGAAATTAAAAATTGTTTGATGTTACTAAAAAGAAAGGTATGAGACATGATGTATGAAAATAACATAGTTGCACCTTAGCAGTCTTGTCTATACAACTTGATTTCAAAACATATAAAAAGTAAAGCATGTTGGAATTAAGTAGTTCCATAATTAATTAACTGGATTATAATTAATTATATTATGTATTGAACATGATTAGGTGGCCCTTCATTTGCTACATGGTTGTTTAGATCCTCTTCTAGATGTAAGTTGAGCTAGCAATAAAATCAGAATTTTGTAGCACCTTAAAGAAAAACAAGTTTATGATTGCATTTCATGTTAGTAAACTTGGTCTTTTTCTGGATAAATAAATCTACAGTAAGTATGTTATTAAGGGCAGGATTGTCAGAGATGAAATGCAGAAAGTACTGGTGATTATTCCTTATTTATCATGGTAACTCTCCCAGTAGTTTTGGAAGATCCTATAGCCACTCTTGTATTGCTGAGCAGAAATATGTGTGTCTTGAAAAACATCTGAGCCACAGGTTGGACATACTGATCAATCATAGGGCAGGTTTTTCATAATGAAATCTACTTTAAATTTCTTGTGTTCAAGAAAGATCACCAAAGCTCACTGACAGTGTAATAAAAGGTTGAAGTGATCTCCCATTAATTAAATATCACACTTTTGATTACAAATCCACATTCGTGTATTGTTTTGTACAGAACCTAACAGTTTTATTCTAGGTTAAATGTGGTTGGGCATTGCTGACAAATGATGGAATATATTGGAAGAGAAGAACATCTTTCAAAGTGAAATATAATTCAGAATGCTAATCTAAAACTCCTTATTTTGATATTTAAAACAAGAGAATCTTATCCTAACAATAAAATACATGCAAGAAATGTTTGTCAAAGCTAATCTTAGCTTTCACAAACATTTCTTGCATATATTATATTTTTAGGATTAGATTCTCTTGTTTTAAATTTAACACTATTGCACAGGTATGCTTTCAAAAGGTCGAGATATAGATCTATTAAATAAATTAATGTCAAGACTGGATTTTCTGTGCTACATATATTGATGTGCAACTGAATTTTTATTTTGAAAGTATCTCGAAAAGTATTTTGGAAAAGAGTGAATAATGTTAGTGTATAAAAATAAAAATAGAACTGCACAAAAACTGCTTAGAAATCAATCTTGTGTGTTGCACAGACAATTGAAATGTTAAATAATTTTTGCAATACATATTTCTGCATTTCATCATGATAGGTCAATGATATGGAGT